GTTAAGGTAATTATCCCATACGATAATTCAGTAAATTACGAAATAGAGACCGTTATAGACCCGAGTCCGAAAATTTACGGAATTTAACGATCCAGGGTTACAGAGTGCTTTGAATTTCTATTAGGTTAATATTAAATATTTATTGGTAAGTATTGCAGAAATATGGTCTACATGGGCGGGTCAAACATCATATTTTATGCCTCGCAAAAGTATTCCACATAATGCCGAGTTATTTTTCCGATGTGTTCGCATGGATTGTCAATCACTCACACTACTCACCATGCATAGATTAAAGGCATCAAAAATTTACGTTTTTAAACGTATAATTGCTCATTTGTTTAAAACCACATTGTACTGCCTGACATAACTGACCGGTAGCGAGTTGGCTGTATTCGTAAATTATGCCGTGACGTCGACGTCACCTCTCCCTATATGTTTCCACACATGCGCATAACATACACACACGCATATACACGCGCACATACGCGCATACACGCAAGCACACACATGTAGGCCCACGTACCCACACACACGCACGCATAAACGCATATGCATGCATGCACACACACGCACATACTCGCAAGCGCACACACGTACCCACACGCACGCACGTTCGCACACACACATACACGCACGCACGCACGCACACACACGCACGCACGCACGCACGCACGCACGCACGCACGCACACACACACACAGCACACAACACCACAACGCAGCACACGGACACGCGCTTCATTGTCCCCCGTCTCTTGCTAGGTTTCCGCCTTCTCTCTCTAGCTCTCGCTTTCCTCTCTACCGTCAACCTCCTAGCTCTGTTAATGTAGGTTACAAGTAATAGCAGTAACGTTAACTAAAATTGCAACGTTAGATAGCCTGAAAGCACGTGGTTTTGGCATAAGGTTCATTTGAGTGATATACGATAGGTCATATTACGTTCGCGGAATTATTGTATTGCACCGTGATAATGGACATTGTAATCCTTGCCATACTGAATGTACTCGTTTTTTCTGATAGGCAAATTAAATTCATGTTATAAACGTCAATGAAGAACTAACATACAATAAACCCTATGGTAGTGAGGATGTACAGACAGAGCCGCGGTACAGCTCCGCTGCCGCAAGTCGATATTCGTATGAAAAGAGCAAATGGAATAGTAGCTTTCAATGGCGAACAGTGATAAAAGCACGTTGCACAATGAGCATCCAAACGTATACATTCTAGACATACAGTGCGCATTAGAACTCGCACCTACATCTTCAATTAACCATCGTCAGCTACAATTTGGGGCGGCTATAATGTAATTTCTAATACATGGTAGCGGTGATTGTTTCGCCGCTCGCAAAGAGAGTAGATTTCCGCACTTCCTCTCTCTCTCTCTCCTGCTCTCTCTGCTCTCTCTCTTCTCTCTCTCTCTTCTCTCTCTCTTCCTCTCTCTACTTCTCTCTTCTCTCTCTCATCTTCTCTCTCTCTCTCTCTCTCTCTCATCTCTCTCTCGATCTCTCTCTCTTCTCGGTCCTCTCTCGGTTCTGTTCTCTCTTCTCTCAT